TTTGGAGAAAAACTCTTGAACTTGACGGTTAGATTCCATCACAAACAAATCCAAAACTACTGTCCCAAACCTGTTGCAGATCTGAGCAAATACCACCTTGTTCAGTGTCCACTCTGACTGGTCCAGATGTCTCCTGCTCAGCCAGTCTGCTAGTACATTGTCTTTCCCTGCCACATGTGTTGCTTTCAGTGACAATAGAGGGTCCTCTACCCAGGCCATCAATTCGGTTGCTTCCTTGTGTAGGGATTGCACTCTGGTCCCGCCTTGTCAGTTCACATATGCCTTTGCAGTCATATTGTCTGTCTGGACAAGTACATGTTGTTCTGTCAACAGTTTGCTGAACTTCAATAAGCCTAATCAAATTGCCCTGAGCTCTAGGAAGTTGATGCTTCTCAATGCTTTGGAGACTACTCTCCCTGCGTCATCTGACCTTTCGAGTGGGCTCGCCATCCTGAAAGACTTGCATCTGTAGTCATCACTATTCTTGGTGGGTCTCATAGCTAGATTCCTGTCATAAACGGCGTGGTTCCAACCACCACCTGAGTTGTTGACATACAGTCTCTGGAAGTTGTAGCATTTTGTATCTCTTGCATGCTATTTCCTCTTGTTGAGGGAGCAGAAATCTCTGAAGTGGCCTGGCATAAAACCAAGACCACTGTACAATTTATTTATTTCTTTTTTTTAATTTTCCAAAACTACAAAGAAATAAGGAGGGGGAAACTATAAACTATGGGAGAAAGTAAAGATAACCACTAAAACCCCAAGAGGTGGTGGTCATATAATGGTTACAATATAGCTTTAAGTCAAAGAAAGTAATTTGTTACATTTAAGGTGATCATTAAAGTCGCTTATATACTTCAAGTCCAGATATTCTGACTTAATAAAGTACAATACAACAGAACGAGTAAATATTTAAAAAACCCAGAAAACAAGCTTCAGAGAAAATTAGCATCTCACTTTTTGCCTCTTCTTTCCCTCAATCGATATCCTTGCTTGGGGGCAGCCGCCCCACGTTCTGAATCCGAGTCTTCTTCAGTAGGTGTTTCATCATCGCTTCCCTTGTCCTCATCGTCTTCCCCCGTTGATCCAAGTTGTTGCTGCAAGAACTCACGTGCTTTCATGACAGAGTCAATTTCCCCCCTCTTATCTTTAAATTTGAAGAGTATGACTTCAGGCAGGATCCATTTGTAAGAGATGATGTTGTTTTGTAAAAACAAAGCCAAGTCTCTATATTTTTTCCTTATTTCACAGGGAATGTCTTTCAAAACTCTTATCTCGTTGCCATCAATTTTAAGGGTAGTTCCATTTGTTGCTTTTAAAATCTGGTCCCTCACTTGTCTTCGGTAGAATCTAACCACCACCTCATCAGGCAGATTATTGTTCTTTATGTATTCTGAATATGACCTATAGATCACATCCATCTTGCTTTGAAGAAAATCTGCTTTTAAATCTGCAACCGCCCCCAAAGTATCAATCATGATCTGCTTAAGATTCTCCCCTTTAGTCTCAGGAACTCCCTGAAATCTCAGACTAAAGCTTGCCTTTTCCATTTGTAGCTGTAATAGCTGGGCTTCATCAGAGTTTCTCTTCTTTTCCATCTCCTGCATTTGTTTTTTAAGCTTTTTGGTGTTTGCATCCACTTCTTTCAGTTTTTCATCTGTTTGCTCTGCTTTTTTTACTGGTCTCTCTCTGTAGCCCCAATGTCCAGAAGATGTCGAATGGCTCTTTTCACTTGATGGTGCTTGTCCAGATTACAATTCTTTGGGACTTGAATGAAGCGATCTTGGGGATAGGAGCTGAACTCCAGTTTGTAGCCGTTGGCTACTGTATCCAGCACCCACTGGTCAGTTACTGTGTGTTGCCACTGATGTGTGAATAACTGTAGTCTGCCCCCAATCTCCAATAGTTCTCTTGGACCTGCATAGTCATGCTGTAGCACCCTTCTTGGGGGTTTTGTTAGGGTTTTGCTCACCTTTGTTGGTGAAAAAGGGGTTGCTGTTGTGTGGTCTGGATTGCCACTTTCTTTTAAAATATCTGAAATAGGAAGACTTTTGTCCTCTTTTTTGGTCCTGAAAGGGCTGAAACCTTTTACGAGATTTTCCATCCTTCTTTTTGGAAGGAAGGACCTTTTTTCTTATCTTTGTCCTCTAGTAAATACCTGTCTAATCCATCTTCAAAAAGGTTCACCCCTTTAAACGGTACAACCACCACCTTTGCTTCGGCAGAGGAGTCGCCGTCCCAGTGCCGAAGCCAGTTATTACTCCGTGCCACTACACTGCAGGCCATCACTCTAGCTGACTGTTGAAGTGCATCCAGAGTAGCATCTGCCGCAATGGCGATCACCAAAGCAATCTTTTAAAATTCATCTTTAAATTCTTTTGGTATGTTGCTGTCAGCCAAGGCCAGATTTTCTGCCCAGTCATATGGTGCTCGAGCAAACAGTGATCCCACTGTGGAGGCTCACCGGGAACAAGATGAGGCTTCAGATTTTCAGATTTCGCCTATCACAGTGGTCCTTTGGCATCCCATCTGCGTCTATAGGTAACACAGAATTGGGAGACAGGCTGGTGACTGGATCATCTGCCATGGGCAGTTTTAGTCTTTTAGCAGCGTCTGGCATCAAAGAATAAAACTTAGAAAAGAGTTGATGGTTAGCCTTGGGTTTTGTGGGACGTTCCCATTCCACTTTCATTATATTGTAAAAAGATGCTGGAAGTGGTATCCCTGGTTCTGCAACTGAAAGTTTTGGTATCAATTTTCCTGATCCCATTTGAAACTCTGACTCCTGCTCTGTATCTTCCTTGAGTTTGGCCATGAGGTCTAAGGGTTTCACAGGACTTTTGGCAAGAGGCGTGCATACAGCTCTTGAGGGAAAAGTCTGGACTGTACAGATGGCATCACTTCCTCTTTTTTCTCTGAGAGTTTTCCTTCCTCTTTCTCTGAGGAGGAGTCTGTAGAGTCAGAAGAGCCTCCCCCCCCGTTTCCCAGGGCCAGCGCCAGAGCGCTACTGCCCGTGGGAGGCCAGAAGAGGCCCCCGCCGCCTCCCAGGGCCAGTGCCGGAGTGCTGCGGCCCATGGGAGGCCAGAAGAGGCCCCCTGCCACCTCCCGGGGTAAGTGAGGGATCTGCGGGGGGTGGCGGAGGCTTGATTGGGGGTGGGGGTGGGAGAGCCTCCCCCTTCCCCATCTCTTTGCCCTCTTTCTTTCCCTCCTTTCCTTCCCCTTTCCTTTTCTTTCCCTCCTTTTCTTTCTCTTTCCCGTTTCCTTCTCTTTCTTTTCCACTTTTCTTCCTTCTTTCCTTCTTTTTCACTCTTTAATTCCTTCTCTCTACACACACTCTCTCTCTTTCCTTCCCTATTTCCTCCTTCTGCAGCCCAACTCTAGTGAGAAGGGGTTTAAACTTTAAACCCTTTCTCTCTTTGCTTCCCCCCCCCGCTGGCTGAGGAAGGGAAGGGGAGGCTTTTGAATATGCCTTCCCCCCCTTTTGCTTCCCCTTCTGACATCACTTCCGGTGATGTCAGGGGCATTGTATATGCTAATGAGCTATTATGCAGCTCTTTTTCTAGGAAAAGACCCCTGATTATAAGTTTTAACTAGGTTTTTAATACTGGCCCTTCATTAGATTTTCTTCTCATCCTTTTGGTTCTTGATTCCAGTTTTTGGGTCAGATTTGTTTTCCCCTCCCTGTGTCTTGGACCTCTTTGTTGACCTACCCCATCTTATAGAGGATCTGGAGGGAGCTGACCCTTGAAATGTTTCCTGTAACATGTCTTTAAACTCTCTTCTCATCTCAGTTCTGAACCAATTTAGAAGTTCAGCCTTATTATCCTCCCTAGCTTCCATATCTTGTGCCTCCATTGGTTCCTGTGTGGACAGAGATACAGAATATCTGGGTAGGCTCAGCTCACTAAAAGAGCTCTCCCTGTCTTGGGAACAGACTTGTTTGATTTTATCAGCCATCCTTCTTATCCTGTAAGGGGAAAGTAAAACAGAAAACCCATCATGGGGACTGTTATAAGGAGCCAAAATGGCCACCACCATTTCCCCACCTAAACCTTGCTTCCCCCTTGCCCTATGTGGAGTTGGCTAGTAACTGGTAGCCTCCCCCTCTGGCCTTTCCTGGAGATTTCCCCTCAAGTACTTGCCAGGGCCAACCAGTTTGGAGTGACTTTTTGGCTGCATGCTGGTGGGGGGAAAACCCTCCGCCCTCACCTCCACAGCATCGTAGGGGCCAGCCTAGGATCTTCCAGGCCTCCCTAGGTTCGCTCCCTCCCCTTGGGGCATTTTGGTGTCAGCCTGGTGTAGGCAATAGGCACTCACCACAGCTTGGATGAAGAGAGGGTTCAGTTCTCATCTGTAGAGCTACTCTGGCAGCCCGGTTCTCCCGCAGTCAGGGAGGTAGCTGGTTCATCGGCGGTGCCCCACTGCTCCTTGCAGACTCTACCGCACCCCTCGATCTCTTAAAGGGGCAGTCTCTGTTCGAAGGCTGGAGGCCAACGGGAGTCTGCTGAGAGCCGTCTGCACCTTGCAGCAGCTGGGGACCTCCCAGCACCAAAGGCTCTCTCTCCGCGCTGCCGATATCACACCCGCTGGGGCTGCAGCCCATCCTTATTTTTTCCTTCTTCCTTCTTCTTTTAACTTCTTCTCAGCTCGCTGCGCTGATTAGCACTTCCGAAGCACGTCTTGCTCTGAAGCAGGGCCAGCAAGAACTGGGACGCCTCCAGGGGATAAGCCCCTCCCCTCCTGGATCAAAGCTTGAAGCCGACCCTGCAACTTATCTTATCCCAAGAGTAAGAACTGTCCCACAATCTGAACCACTGGAGAATATCCTCTTCTTTATTTATAGAAAAGTTTCCTAATTTTGGAATAACTTGAGGCACATGATTTTATATGAAGATGAGCCCTTCACAATAATAAGCTAAGATAAACCTGAGAAAGCAAAATATTCAGTTTGGCAGACAAAACAGTAACTGTTCAGTTGTAGGAATTATTTCACATCTTACCTTAATGCCTTTACGTAAGATAGGCTCAGGAAAAGAAGGGTCTGGTGTTGAACTTAAGCATAATCTAAACTGAGGGCTTATGTTTGTATTTGCTTGGGTAAACCTGTGAATAGAAACAGTTTACAATCACAACCACTTTGCAATGGATTGTAAAGCTTCTGTGAATAAAATTCAATGCCATTTAACTGACAATGTTATCTGTTCCACAAAAGAGAGATTTTCTTCAATTACAAGGGCAATAACAACTGGCTCCCTCCTATATGATCATCTCCTAAATGACGACTCATCTTCTGTCCAGTGATACCAAACTTCTGCTGGCTAAAGAATTCTCAGAAAACATTTGTTCCTTTTTGGGCTGTTTCTCAGCAACCAGAGAAAACAAGATTCTTATGTAGTCCTCCCTTCTGGATTCCCACAACTGCCTTCCACACACTCACTATTTTGAATGGTGCCTGCACTGATTTTAAGGCTTCTCCTTGCCCAACTACTAAGGATACTCAGGAGTAGTATTGCCTGCTGGGGATCTTGGATCTTTTCTGTGCCTCAAAAATAAGATCCAAGCACCCCAGCGGAAGATAGCTTGTCTAAGCATGTCACAGAGTATCTTGGGCAGTTGCCAGGACGATTTTCCTGCTGCTGGTTCCCCACCCCTTTTTAATAGTTTGTTTGCTTGGATGATTGACTGGCAGGCAGTGGGCATGAACACCACCATGGGCTGGTGACAAATTCTGAGAGGTTTAGGTTTGATTTGTATTATGGCATAGATTTCTGAACTGCAAGGAGTTGAAATCAAAACCTCTCAATTCCAGAATTCCAATACACTGATTTGCATCAAAGACATATATTCAAAACTTGGGCTTTAAGGGCTAGTTCACACAAACAAGCAACACATTTTACCTAGGTAAGTGTGTTGATAAACTTTAGTGTGCACTGATTGCTTAGATGGAGACAATAATTGTTGTGACTGTGGCTGCCTTTTTTCAAGTGGTCCAATCAGAGAGATGACTTCTACTTTAGTCACACATATGCTGAATTCACATTATGTGAAAAAAGAAACTATTTATTAAAAAAGAAACTATTTATATGAGTTATGCCTAAAATTAAGTGCAAAAGCTGTCAAAATTAGTGATAATGAGGGATAAAAGACTTTGGAATGAGGAACATAACAGTAGAAGTTAAAGTACCAAGACAAGAAATTGTTGGTTATTGTCAGGATCGGACCCCTGTCTTGGTCAGTGCTTGTAACTGTATTGCCCTGTGCTGCTAATGCTTACTTTAGTTTTTGTAAACCCTGCCCGCTTTGCACAACTTCCCGTTTGCTTGTTACCTTATCAGTCCTCCCTGACATTCCTGAGGAGGGGAATGTGAGAATGAGTGCCTGGTGTAGTGTGGAGGTGCTGCTCATAATTTTCGTGAAGCTACCCACATAAGGTTCACAGGTTTCAGCTGGACCTGCGTCCTTGGGAGAGATAAGTTAGGTCGTATATTTTTTCATGACCTGTAATAAGCCTGTGCATGTGTGACGTATGACGGAGAGGTGGGGCCCATTCCCCAATTACCAATCCTGTGCTATTGCTCATTAGTTCTGACAAAGGCGTTAACCTTACTAGAAGTTCAAATCTTACCAATAAACCTTATTAAGGAATATTGAGTGGAGAGTGGTTCCTCTGGGGTCTGACAGTTATTCCAGAAGAAATTGATATCAAATATGGAATCTGTGAAACTGTTAGTTCCTGATAAGGGCAATCATTCTTTCTTGCCTATTGATGCTATTACTTCCTATTGTACTTCCCTTGTGGGATCACTGAGCAAACACTGTTCACTACTAACTGGGTGATCACCACTACAGTCTCTAGCGGCAATTTGAAACAATTGCAGGCAATGTCAGATGAACAGTTGCAGAAAAATCAATGACTTACCAATAGTAACAACTTTTAAAAAATACAGTGATTTCTGTATAGCTAATATCATAGCCAATCAATAACCGCAGCTATGTCAAGTGATTAATTTATATCAGTTTTTTAAGGAACGTCCATGGGGCTTTGGGAGGAAAGATGCAGATAGCTGAGTCTCAAAAGGCTTATGAAGCATTAAGGTTAGTCAGCTCCAGTTGCTTATCAATGTGAGAACAAATTGCAGATACAAATAAATAGAAATGGTACTCACGAATCAACAATTGTGCAAAGCCTAGGCATAAATGATGCTGCAAGATGACAGTTCTGAAGGAATGCCCACTGTCCACTAAGTATCTGTGCTTTATATATCAATTCTTCAGCTTTGCTTTCTTGACCACGTCCCAACGATATCATTTTAACATGTTGAGTGTTTCCTTTTATTTCCTGAGCAAGGCGTAAGAGGAGAGCTGCAGCATCCACTCCTGTGTAATAATACCGATTTGATTGATTTCCAGCTCCAGAAATTTTTCAGCTTTAGATTTAGCAACATCACATCTTAAAATATTTGACTAATGAAAAGAGTGGGAGTGAACATTCTATGTAAAATGTATGTCACCTTATTAAAGAACTACTGGAGACCTAACAGCATATTTATTAACACAATGCTATAAAACTGGCTGCTGACATGGTTTTTGAGGAGAGAATAATTTGTAACTCTATTTTCTGTATTACTCTGCTAAGAGGTTTACTTCATGGTTCACAAGTAAAAAAATAAACAGAATGCAGATCAATTTTCATATTTTCATTATCAATGTATGTTACTTACCTTGAGTATGGATAAGAATTAGAGGAGTTGTACAGTCAGATTCTTCATACATTTCTTTCAGATTAATGCCTCCAGCCTGAAGATACTTGGATCCAAGTTTCTCAAATACAAATTCTCGTAGTGCACTGCTTAAGCATTCTGGTCGAAGAACTTTTATCTACCAAAAACATAAGTGATGGTTATAACTGAATCTATGAAGGGCATGATCCACTCAAGATAAGCAAATTCAAAACTCTTTAATTCAAAGGGAAAGTTAAGTACCTGTTTTACTCCCTCAAGCTACTCTTTCCTTTCTCCCTTGTTATCTTTACACCTGGAACAGCCCCTTAGAACAGCGGTGTGATACCTCCTCTCTGATTCACAATCCACTTTTTCTATGAAGACTTTGGCACAAAAACTAAAATGTAAGCAATGGTAACTGGAACAAACACACATTTTACCCTACTAATTACTGTCCCCATCTCTCCCCTTTCTTGTCTCCTCTTTGTCAAATTTTAGAGTGTTAGCTCCTTGGGTCAGGGACTTGTCTTGTACTCTACAAGGTAGGTTAGGCTGAAAATGTGTGATTGGCTCAAGGTCACCCAGAAAACTTCCATGGCAGTGTAGGGATTTGAACCTGAGTCTCCCAGACCCTAGTCTGAAACTCTGACCACTACACTGCATTGGCTTTTGTGGGATGACTGCAGTACCCAGCAGCCAGACCTGGGTGAGTCTCACAAGTTTTATGGTATCAAGTATTGGCAGACCTGGTCTCAATGAATCCTTCCTCAAAGGCGCTGTAAAAGGCCTGCCCCCTCCCACCTGCCTTTTTCTGACAGAAACCAAGCTTGAAGCTGGTGATAATGTTGTGGTTGCCTAGCAACAGCCACTAATGACATTCATTTCTTAAAGCTATAAGCACTGCTTCTATCATTTTGTAGATTTTTAACCACCCAGACTCAACCTGGAAAAACTGTGGTCCAAGTGTATGGTGCCTGCCACTAGTCCAAGCCCAGTTGTGCAGTGGGGAATCCACAAGGACTTACAAGGAGTACCTTATTTTCCCCTGTATCCTCTTCCCCACACTATTTCCTCTTTTCCACCTCTGGGCAACTATCATATCCTTACCTTCCCCTGTTTCTTTCTGTCCTTCATACCCACCCACCAATCTACTGCTTATCTGCCCCCCGTCTTCATTTATACTCCACCTTTCATACATGCTTGCACGCTTCAATGTTTTGCCATCAGAGGTGCTTTTAGGGAAGTACCACCAGATACCATATGTAGACAGACTTTGTCCTTGTTCTCTAAAAGATATAGAATCCACTACACACACCATACTTCATTGTCCCTTTTATAGGGATATTCAATCTTGTATGACTCCACTTTCAGATGGTAAGAGTTGGCATTCTGATGACTCAATTATTCACTTTCTTCTGTTTAATTCTAATTGTGAAATAACGGAGGCTG